ATGGTTTATTAATAAGTATATTTATTTTAAAATAATTTTTACAGTTTTAAAATATAAAATATAATCGCCTTTTTTTTTTATTAAGTTCTTAAGTAAATAAATTAATATTTTACTATCTTTAATGTTATTAATTAATTAAGTAAATTGAAACGTTTCATGTTCTCTGTTTATAATCGTGACATCATTATTCATTACTTATCATTATATTTTTTGTTCCGAAAAAATATTTTATTGATAGTCCATCGCATGGACGACCGTCTCCCCTTGAATTCGTATTAAGGAATTTATTATAATATAATGTGAGACGTATTATGTGAGATATACAATTCAAATTTTTTTAATGTGGACTATTTTATAATAAAATCAAATTACGCGTGTCTGTAAATACTGAATTGGGCTTTTTGTCGGGTCCATACTTAGTGAAAAATAAAATAAAATACAAACGTAACTTTCAAAACACAGGCAGATGTAAAAAAATAACTAAACAAAAGTTGATTCTAAGTGGATCCAGTATTAGATTAAAAAAGAAACCACAAATATTAAGGATTCACCTGATTTAAATATTACCAAAATTTTACTTGTAAATTTTAAGCCGGAATTAAAGAAAAAAATTGAGTCATCCACCCATTAGAAGTAAGTCTAAATACGCCCCTTGTCTATCATCTATAAATATTGAATATTTAAATATACAGGTAACCATAATTTTTTAAATATTATTAAGTCGGCAAATTTGATCAGTTGCCCCGTCTTTTCAAAAGTTGAAATGACGTCTCTGTGTGTGTGTGTGTGTGTGTGTTGTGACGCCATATGGTGATATAAATTTATTTTTATTTTTAGACACACTTTTATTTTGTAAAGAAGTTTCACTTCAAAAAAATTAGATCATTAAATATTGAAAATATAAAAAAATTAGCCGCCCGGGACAACAGAACCCTGTAACTACCCCTTAAATACGCCTCTGAAATATATTTAATCTATGATTGTAAATAGTATATACAACTAACAAAGTCGCAATTGATACAATTATAATACACTTACGTGGACATGGATAAAATAAAAATAATAATAAAATAAATTTTATTTTCGTGAAAATATCGGTCATCACTCATCACTAATAAATAAAACGTATGGAAAATTTATAAATTTGTATTATAACGCGTAGAACCTGTTTTAGTTTGAGTGCTGCAGTTCAAGCGGTTCAATTTACCAATCAGTTCCTGACTTCAGAGCCGTAGAAAAAATTGCGACCGGTGTTTATTTTCAAAGATAAGATTACATACTCATATCATCCAATGCAATAAGGTAAAATATGAATTCAATTTTTGTTTTCACTTTTTATTAATGTGGGTATTTATACTTTATAGATTGAAGATAAGGAATGTTAAATGGCGACAAAGACGACAAAATATTTTAAAAGCTTTTTTATACTTTTTTTAATATCGTATTAATTAATGATTATTTTTATATTTATAATACATTTCATATATTTGTACATAATTTTAGACAACATTTTAAGTGAATATTTAATTACATATTTAAAAATAAATATATATTTTATAGCATATTACAGCATTTTTTAGAAGCATATTTTGAGGAATGTAATATTATTTGTATTTATAACTATTAGGGTAACAATAACTAACAATGCAACTATTGTGAAATAAATTATTATCTACTATTTTACCTGTACCTATTATTTCTATAGTAACAAAATTTAAAAGAAATTGAATATTGCCAAAATGTAATTTTTTTAATTTACCTAATTATTAATTGTATTACAAACAATGTAGTTACTTAATACTTATTAAGGTTTAAATGACATTGTGATTTATTTTTATTAATATTTCGCTGCAAAGTACCTATTAGTACACAGTCATCAATAATCATTTTTTTTTTTAATGGAATGTTTAAAAATTGTATCGGAAAATGGTCAGCATCTTCTTGTAGTAGCCTATTGCATTCATAGACCGAAAACGAGGTAAAAAAGTGTACTTATGAATATTTTTTTTGATATAAATACTAAAAGGTTAACTTGTTTGAAAAAATTATATTCCACGATGATAGGAAACGATATTATTCTAATTTTGTAGGTGCATTAAAACAGTTGATTAACTCTTTCATTTGGAACTCATTTAACGTGAAGAATGGCAAACTTAAAAAATAAAATTACTGATTTGCAAAATGGATATCATTGAACCAATTGTCTGTCGGAGAACTAGGAAATCATCAATATATTAGGTTTATTAAATTTGAGAACAAATGCGATTTGTACGGTAAATTAATAATGTAATTATATAGAATATAAGATTAAACTTTTAAAAAAGTATTTTAAATCTCTATACTATACTAAGAATACACGCAAAAGTTATTTAAAATACTGTAATGTATTCGGAACATCACCAAAGTCTGCTATTTGACAATAATTCAAATGGATTATATAAAGCTCCTTCTGGCCCCTTAAATCCGCCACTGGTGTTACTGCCCACCTTAGGGCTTAGACTTTATACGGTCGATTTTTAAGGGGTTTGATATAGATAATTTACAATACTTTCGAAAATATTGACTATCTACTTTGGATCCCAGGATTTTACATTCCGGAATTATACGTTCCGGACAAATACGGTTTTCAAATTTTTGCTTTCCGGCGATTTACGGTCCGGACTAATACGTTTTGGAGAAATACGGTCCGGATAAATACGTTCCGGGCGAATACGGTTTTCAAATTTTTAATTCCGGCGATATACGGTTCGGATAAATACGTTCCGCCAATTTATTTTCCGGAATTGCACGGCCTTCCGAATATGAAGGTCATGTAACAATAATTGCAAAATAAAAAAAATAAACTAATATTTATCATAAACAACTTTACAGCATAACATTGATACATTATCTCAGACGCTGGTCACGGGGAATTAGGAATTCACGTTGTTCGATAACGATTTTAATTATTTATAAACTACTTCAGTAGTACAGTGCAGAGTAGTAGGTACTTAAACTAAAATTATAATGCTAACTATATTACTGTTTCATTATAGCCGTATTCAGTGTTGTTATTTACAATATCGTGGCACTCTATTGGATAACTTTTCTTAGTATATTTACTAGGAAGTTATTATTAAAGTTATGATTCTTGCTAAATATCATGATCAAATGACAAAAAACGTCTCACTAAATCTATAACTCACCCACCCGCCCCTTTAAAATTATCGAACAATTGCCCTTCAATTCATGGATTACATGCCACTGACCCCGGTTGTGTTAGATGCTTCATCCACAAGTACTGTAATAGTTTATTTACTCTATTGACAATTTTAGTAAGTTAAATAGTATTACAAGTTTTTATTATGTCCTTTTGATTTGGACATTTGTGTATTTAATAAGACCAGGGGTGGACTGGCATGGCGGGACACCGGGACAAATCTCGGTGGCCGTTACAATAATAGATTAAATGGCCTGATAATATTTTAGAAATTAAAAATATAGTATGATATTTTAATTGACAGAAATGGGGAAACATGTGAATTTTTGAAAAAAAAAAACTTAATTATGTAAAAAAGGAAATACTTTAAGAGTTAATTTTAATATATAGGTATTATATTAAAATGTGTACACTGTATCTATAAAAAAAAATATCTTATATATTAGTTATAATTTTATATATCTACATAAAATATTGAAAGTATTTTTTAAATAATAAAGGTTTTTTTTATCATTATTATTTTTTTATGCATACTTATGACCAAATCGTTGGTCCCCTGTTAATTTTTAGCCTAGCAAAAAAAAATTCCGAGCGTGAAATATTAACTCAGTCCACCCCTGAATACAACCGGGACTTTTGAAGAATTGTTTTACATTGAATACACCAAGTGCTTCCTTAAAATATTCCGAAAATTTCCATCATTTTGTTTTGGTTTCAAATTTTCTACTTCAATAACCAGAATCTCGGTGATTTCTAATTGAAATGTTTTATTGAATACATACAACTATAATTTCTATTACTGGAATAATATTTTTTCTATTTTCTATTACTTGTATTGCATGACTAGAATATAATTTGTTTTCAATGAATAATGATGGGTTTTTTAATATTTAGGAATTAATCAGTGTCTAATAAACATTTTAAATGGTATTGTAAACAGAAATGTCTTTTATAAGTTTCAATATTATATTTCCAACATCAAATTGTGTTTTTTAAGGGCATCAAATAGTTGGAAACTGTCCCTTGCTTCATTATTATCAAATGTAACGCAAAATTTACAACACGCCCTATCAAACTTTTACGAATAGGCTAGCTAAGTCAATTCGGACAACTATGAGTTTTGAAAATTTAAATTCTGTTTAAACTCTACAGTATTATTAATAGCTATTTACTAGAAGTTGAAAATTGATTTCGAGTATCTAAATTTGTTGAAGAATTTCTTCAATTTCGCGATGCTTTAAGAAACGGTTCGTAATACATGCCTATATAATGTATATTTTCATTTACCCTATCATCAGTACATTTATTTGGCTCATCAAAATTGGGCGATAAAGTAAGTTTTCATGATGTATCAAGTATGAGATTATGTTACATTCAGAGATGTAAAGTTCAAAAGTTTCAAAAGTTGTTGAAATGAAAAGTGTTTATGGTGATACGAGTATAAGTCCTGGTCCCGGAATCAAAGACAATGTAAATAATATCACTATAATTTATCAATGTTTAATGACCATGGGTTATAGATAGTATAATTATTATTTATTAATTATAATTTACAAATTTTACAAGACTATTCGATTTCAATTTTCAATGCTGTATAGTAATTTATTGTATGCAATAATTAGAGCAAGGACTTTCATGCACTAAAAAATCATCAAATATGCATTTAAAAATATGCACTTATGCATCAAAAAAATTAAAAATATGCGGTTAAATATGCCCTTAAAAAAATTAATTTTATTATTATTCTATATAAAATATAAGTTATAATATGTATATAATGTTGGATCCTATTCTTCTTAATTATTATTTTGCACAAAAAAGGTATGTTAAAATAATTGTTGAATTATTCTCAAATATTTACCTTACCTAAATTAGAATTGCACTGAATTATTAACATTTCTTTGATATTTTCAAATAGCAGAGAACGTCTTTTATTTGTCAGCAGGTTCTTATATTGCGAAAAACTTCGTTCGACGTCCATTGACGTGATCGGTGCATACTTGAAGTAAACCATTTCACTAGCATTCAAATCTCCTAATTCATCAATGTTTTCCTCAGTGTCATTTAAAATATTTGAAATTATACGAAGCGTATTGAAACCTTTGTTTTTTTCTATTACTTTTTTAAGTTTTTCCACTACTGATTTTATACTCTTCGAGTGTGTATCAATTATGTTCATATCGTCTATCATTCTGTTTACAATGTTAATTGAATCGACTAGTTTTAATCCACGTTTTTCAAGCTGGGTAATCGATTTAGATATAATTCCAAACTTGGCTGTAATACAAACCAAATTTGCGTCTAATTGTTGGTCATCCAAAATATTTTTTACTTTTAATATAGAAGCTGAATCGTCATCCAACTTCATAAAAACATTTGGAATGCTTTGTATATATTTACAATAATAGTATGTTGCATCTAACCACGTCTCTCAACGAGTAATTATAGGTTCAGGGGGGGAGCATTACTTCAGGAGCTTCGTTTTTAAAAATTTGGACTCGATATGGTGCTTTTAAAAAAGTTTTTTTAACATTTGAAATTAGTTTGTCTACTTTTGGAAACATGTTACAAACCTCCTCTGCAACCCTGTAAAGACCATGAGCCAAACATGTAATGTGGACCATTTTAGAATAAAAAACTTTTATTACAGATGCCGATTTAACCATATATGGTGCTGCGTCACTAACAAAAAGTAAAACATCGTTATGCTGAACACCGTTGGGCCATAATAAAGTCATTGATTTATCAAATAACTTTGCTATTGTCGAGTGATTAACTCTTTCCAACACCTCAGTTGTCAACAACATAATTTCTCCAGGACAATCAATTTCTAGTGTACTAATTATTACATTAGCTACATACCTTCCATTGCTGTCGGTAGTCTCATCAATTGAACGGCTGAGTAGAAAAAGGATAATATTCCTCAACACCCAATTTTCGGAAAATTAAAAAAAACTTTTTAATTCGTTCATTTTTATTTGTATGTTAATTTTATGTATACAAAAAATACTTGTTTGTATTTAACCTTTAACCTCCTAAAATATGATATCGTGATAATTTTTTTTTATATATATATAATACTAATAAAGTGCTGGAATATTATTCTTTTTCCGCTCACTGTAATAATAAAATCTTAAAATAATTTTAAAACTTCATTTTATTCTTAATAAAAGGCTTTATTTAGTACAAAAGTATTTTAAAGTACTGTCTTATTTTAGTTTAAATATAATACACATTTTAAAAATAATTAAAGTTGTTACATTAAAATAATTGATAGGTTTTTTAAAATCTTAATTTTCATCATCATCATCACTAGTTGCTCCATTCGAAGTTGGCAGGTTCAAAATTTCATCATAGAATCTTTGATATTCTTGCGGGATGTATTGTTTGACTTTTGATATGTCCTGAATCTTTTTGGGGTTGACTGCAACTTTATCTTGATAGATTTTATCCTCCGGGAACAGCACTTCTTTTGTTTTATTTAGTTTAAAAGTTACACTTAGAAGACCGTCAATAAAGTTAGAAGCCTTCACATATCCTTTTAGTTCACTTTTATATACCAAGTGTCTGTACTGGCTTATACTGAATTTTTCACCTTTTTTTTTCTATATCAATCGCTGTTTTTTTTGAAATACTGAGGCCACCATCCATGAAAGTTTAGTATGTCATCATTTTTAATTGATTTTATTTCAAAAGTTGGTGAGAACTTTTTGGCGGTCTTAATAAGATTTTCATACTGACTAGGTACATAGATTCGATCAAACTTCCTTACTGCTCGCTTGATCACTGAAAAGTTGCGATCACAGGGCAAAAAACTGTGCCCTCGTACTGGAAAATATTGGTGGATGATGGAAAATCTGTTATTTATCATCATTGCCAAAAACATTCTAGTCACCGTATGGTTTCTATTTTGGCCACCACATGCGTCACTAAATATATGGAGTTCCTTTACTTTATCAGGTATAGTGTTGAAAAAATCATTAAGAAAGCTACAGACTTCATTTGGACCCCTTTTGGCGGTCCCTTCAGTGTATGTGTATGTGTTTTCGTTATTATGATAATAACATTCAATAATAATATTATTATCGAAAACTATCTTACGATTGTCGTGGTTGTCGTCGTTTTACTAAAAATAGACGAAAATAAACCAAACATTCTAACTAGCGTCACAATGAGTGGAAAAAAGATAATATTCCTGGAATATTATCTTTTTTCCACTCAGCGTACACTCAAAGTTAAATTCATACGCATAATTTCAATGGAATATTATCCTTCATACGTTCATTAAATGAAATCTACATTCAACTACAAAATAGCTATCTTAGTTTATTTTTCGTATTTTTGGAATATTATCCTTTTTCTACTCAGCCATTCAATTGACACCCATATTTTTTTATCCTGTACAGTGACCCTTATTTTATCCATTGTCTGATTGTAACAGTCGTTTACATAATATTTTCGAAGTGTCGATTCGTCAGGTATATCTCTTTGCATATATTTTTCTAAAAAACTCTTAAAATGAGTGTTTTTTAGTTTATAAAGTGGTATACTTGCAGATAGCAAAGTTTTACATAAATCTGAATTGAATTCCGATAGTTTTGATTTTTGATTTGTAACCAATTGTTGCACATTATTTGTTTTATTGTTTTCTAAACGTGCTGCACTTCTGATGTGTTTTTCAGTTTTTAGGTGTAGTATGATACTAAAACGTTTTTCACTTGCTACTTTCACGTTACAGATTTTACAAAATAAAATAAGATTATCAGTTGAAAATACAGATTCACCAAACTCGATTACAAAATTACGCAAACGATAAGTTTTTGTCGATTTTTCTTTTGGCATATTGATAGAGTGACAAAAATTAAACAAATGTTCGTTACATGAAAATTAAACATACGAAACTATAACACACACGCGATGAATGTTCTAGAACTAATGCGAATCTAATCTACCCACTGACTATAGACACTTGATACTATCGTTTTTATACCACGTACCTACTACTCGTTAAAAATACAAAAAATAGACATAATAAATACCTACTAACCATTATTATTATTTCAAGATAACATTTATCTTTATCGCCTTTATGAGTTTATAACAGTTGTTGACATTAGTTCATGAAAAATATTCACCAAAGAGCTTGATTTTCGATAAACCATCAAAATATGCACTAAAAGCTTAAAATATGCTCTTATAATCAAAAATATGCCCCTTAAACTAAAAAAATGTCCAAATATGCAAAAATATGCATTAAAAACTTTGAGTATTTCATCATAAACGTTATGAAATGAATTTTGTACTTAACAAGCATACGATAAATTGAACCAGAAAAAATATGCAAATGCATAAAAGTCCTTGCTCTAGCAATAATTAATTGAACTATTGAAATTCTATTAAAAATTTCTATTGAAAATAGTCAATTACAATCACATAATTTAAAAATTTATGATAGTTCGATTAGTTCAATTAGTTTCAAACAGAGTTATATCTTTATATATTTTAATATTAAAAATAAACATTTTTTTTTTTAATTTGCTATTGTCGGAGACACTACAGCAATACAATTATGTTATGAAAAGGTAAAAATTTATAAAAAACATAAAAAATTAAATTAAAAAGCCAGCGGAACGTGGATAGGAATGAAAAAAAGAGATGTCTACTAGGAGAGAGAGAGGGGCAATGAAAAATTATATGATTGAAGTTGCAGACTGTTTCTATGTTGTGTAGGGTGCATAGAGGAGATGAGTTAAAAGAGAGCTTAAAGGATTGATGAGGAAGTAAACTGTGACCAATTCGGACGGAAAAGGAAGGTAGAACAATTTGATTTTCAAGTACCAAGTGAAGGTAAGCCGTGATCTGTTTACGGGTGAAAATCATAAAATAACTCTTCTCAGGAACTATGGTAAATAATGAAGCAAATAGTTTAGTGAAGAGAATATTTAATATATTAACGGATCTGTCAAGAGATTTATCAGAATAAAATAAAACAATATCATCAGCATTAAATAGAGCTTTGAAATTTGGGGAGACTAGGGATAAGTAAATGGAGGCCATTTAAACATTAAATAGCAGAAGACTAAGGCAGCTGCTTTGGGTTTATCCTCGATAAGTTAATCTATGTTTTGATAGTTCTAGAAAGGGAGCAATAAATAAAAGATCGCTAATAGAACAGTGAGGAAATTACATTACAGACAGAATTGGGGATTTAGAGAGAAACGAGGTGAGAGACCAGAGTAGGAATATGTACCGAATCAAATGCACCTTTTATGTCGACAAATGCGGCACACAGAAATTTATTGTCGCAGAAAGATTCGTATACCGGGCCAACAATAGATAACAAGCATTCCATTATATCCATGCCGCGTCGGAAGCCGAATATATTATTGGGAATAAACTTATTTTTTTTCTAATAACCAATCAAGACATATTTTTAAGATATATTCAACAATATTACAGAGCGCAGAGGATAAAGCGATGGGCCTGAAAGCCGTAGGATAAGTATTGAGTTTAGTAATAAGTATGACATGATATCGTTTCCAGGAATCGGGAATAAAAACCGTCACCCAAAGGTCATTAATAAGGCTCGGATTTTGTAGCAAAATAAATCCTTAAAAAAGCATTTTAAGTAGCCAAAAAAAAAGCATTTATTAATTTAATTCTAAAAAAACAAATTTCAACTACACATAAAATTAAATATTAAAAAAGAAATTCACGACCATATATTTAGTCAACTTATTTTCATTAAAACTCATTATATTAGATACTAATATATTTTTGAACTGAGAAAAAAGACCTTTTCTCGTCAACCAATGTAATCGGTGCATATTTCATATAAACTAAATAATTTGAATCATATAGTTCCACATTTACGTTTAGTGCAGTACCATTGTGAATCCAATTAACTTTTTGAAGTTCTGCCCGTCCATTATTCTTTGAAAAAAATATGATTGCACTTTTCTAAAATCAATTTCGCTACTTCACCATTAGCTTCCATTAACTTTTGATTTGCTTCTAACATAATACATATACTTTTTGCCAAAGTTTCGCCTAAAAAAAATTAATATATAAATACAGCAAATACTTGAAACAAAAATAAAAAATATTTTAGCTATCGTATTAGTGTAGCAAAAATCGAAGTATCCTTTTCGTAAGTTGATTCATTTGGAATAGTTTTATTGCAATATTTTGAAAGAAATGACCGAAAATGTTCGTTATTTAATTTGTTTTGGGAGATATTCGCCGCTATAAGTGCGGAACATAGGTCAGCATTAAAATCAGACTTACAAAATTGAAGAATGAATGGCTGAACTACATTATGTTTTGCAGATTTAAGTTTTTTTCAATGCTTCTTTGCGTTTTTCTCTGCCAATATGTTGTTGAACGTTATATTTTTTATCCAAATTTATTTTCACTTCACACAATTTACAAAATATAATATTTTCGTCAGTTATAAGCACATTTTCACCGAATTCTTTTACGATTTTTTTTTAATTTTAAATTTTAATTTTTAACTTTTGGTATTTTGACGATGAGAGAAATTATTTAGAATACTACACGTCTATACCTCACTGATTGTCGATTTACCGGCCAATTGACGTATTAGAACGTGCTATAAAAATACGCAGGTGTAATTCAGATAATTTTCCCTTTCCTTGAGTCGTAAATACAACTATAGATAATTTTAGATAAAACTATTTCGGCACAATAACAACCGTTATTTTATCAATCATATATTTATTACTGGTTTTTTTCACTGATTTTATTATTTCTGATAATAATAATATAGTCCAAGACGTATAATATACATAGAAATAAGCTAAGTTTTCAAGAAAAATATGTAAAAATTAAGTAAAAATAACCAAATAAGATAAAAAGCAATAAAAAGCAGGT